TCTTTGAGTTTCCTTGAAACAGTGCCCCCATTTACATAAAGTATCAGATTCAAGAAAACGGAATGTTGAGTTTGAACCTTGTTTCTCTGAGCAGGAGGGTCACAATCTAACACCAAAACAATCCGACCTCCTTCAGCTGAAGGCGTATGAACAACCCTTTCATTGCACCATCCCTGCAAAACATAGTCAGCAACTTTGACAAAATAAGCACCCAAATGGACCTAAGAAACTCGTGGAGACACATAATCTAAAACCATTTGCACCTTGAATTGAATTCCACGGGTATAGTCCTTGTGAAATGCCTTGTGAGCCTTCTCATCCTCTTCATCTCCAGCCGTATACTTGACCCCACAGGTGGAACATGTGTGCAGATTAAAATCAGACTGACCGAACTCTAAATAGAACTGAGCATAACTTCTCTTCTTGTTCTTCACCACTGTTCTTCCCAATGTGGATGATTTTGGCTTCCCAGAATTATTATAAAAAATGGGTCTCTCCGCCAACTGGTTAACTGAACCTTTGTCACTTTCACCCCTTCATTACACAAAGAAAATATTGGAAAGGGGAAAAAAACAAATAAGAAAAAGGGTCAGTAAATCATTACTGATATTCCTACAAAATCCTAGATTTTCTGCTAGAAAAACCCCAGAAATTAAATCCACGCTAAACCCAATTCCTAATTTCTTAATTGAAGCTACTGGTGTTTTAGCTTTCGTCTTTGTAGATTCAATAACCCAGAAACGAAATATTAAAAAAGATAAACTGAAAAGCGAAAAATCCATTTTCGCCCTCTGCCTTTTCTCTCAGCCACCCAAACAACAACCAGCCCAAGTAAAAAACAAAAAACAAAATACCTTTGAAGGTTTCGATCTCTTCGCTTGTAAGTGTTGCAATATTGGTGGTGCGTCTTTTCCCAGATGGCCAATTCGTCGTCGTCTCCGTCGCTCAAAGTCGGAGGTGCGTCTGCTAATTTTATTGAAAAAGAAGGAGAGGGTTTGAAGAAGGCACTGATCTTAGATTGCATTGCATGAATTGCGTGGAATTTGATTTGGGGTTCGATCTGATTGCATTACGCCTCAATCATCATTTACTTTGATTTTGGCGCCCAGAAATTTGGTAGACTCCAGAATGAATTTAATTTTCCCTCCTAATTATTGTAGCCTCCAATTTTTTCTTGGGCCTGTCCGTTGGCGATGAACCCTAAATATTTCTTCCGTGGACCCCTACAAAGGAGGCCCAATAAGTTAATTTGATAAGTTGATTTGATTTATGGCTTGTTTGGGAATGATTCTGCCCAGAATCACTTATGGGTAGAAGTAACTTGTACGTGCTTCTCCATCTCCATATAAGTGATTTTTAGCTTACCCAAAATCACTTTTAAAGGAGCCCTAAGTTGATCTACAACAATTAATTAAATGAAAATTAAAAACATAAAACAGTTTAGAAGTCCAATTGATTAAGTAATCATATAATATATTTTTTTATAAATATTAATATATTTTACATATATTCGAATATTTAACACTATCATCAACCACTATGTCTTCTTCAGCTGCCGAGTTCTAAGGCCCCATACTCTCAGGACCGACAAATTCAACATTCTCCAGCACTTCCTTTTCAGATTCGTTGCTGCCATTATCTTCTCACAAAATAAAGAATATCAAAATTGGGAAAAACAACACAATTAAAACTAAAACTTTGCTCAACTTAAAAAGGAAAATAAAAACATTAAGGCCCCGTTTGGTTTATAAGAAAGGAGGCTTGAGAATGGCTTTCCCATGTTTGGTAAGTCCAGACATGGAAAATGATTGGCTTGCACATATAAAAGTAAGAGAGAAAGTGAAGCCCTCCTCCAAACTTGGGTTTTGTTTTCCCTCCTCATGGGAAAGTTCGGGAAAATAAGCCAACATTAAATGCACATTTTTCATGACTATTTTGTCTCATTAACAATTTAGAATTATAATATATCATTAAATACATTCTTTTTTTTATTTGATTTAATATGGATATAATTAGAAAATTATACAAACTTTGTTTTCCATTCCTACTCAAAACAAACATGAGAAATGAAATAAAGTGATATCTCCCGATTACTTTCCCACCATTACCAAACGTCGGAAAGGAATCTTCCATTTCTCATCCCTTAGGAAATGACATGGGAAGTAATTTCCTCTCAAATATGTTACGTGAACCAAATGGGGCCTAAAACTAAAATTAAACATCCGAATAGCACCTCTTCCAAGTGCAAGTGACATGCTACTGCGTGCTTCAAAATTTTGAAGCAAAATAATCATTGTATAAGGCTAGGTCAAGTCATCTCTCTTCATCATCAAATACCGACTACTCTAGGCTCATCAAGCAACGGTTCATGCAAAAGGAAATAAATAGAACCTCTTTAATTGGCTTCAAAACTTTCCTTAATTCACAAGGTTTTGGGCCTCAAGATATAACCTAATTTAAACTCTTATCAAACTTCAATAAGTTAATGACTCAGCAAAATATAACCTAGTATCTAGTGCACTGATCTAAATAGAAATATAACATTCTCCCAGTAGATCAAGCATTAGAGCACTAAGTTTCTGTAAAAGTTTGATCATCTTTATTGGCCATGAGTTTTAAACAGTTAAGTCTTTCCCTTTAAGCTACCGTGAAAAACGATTAGACAAAACGAACTATAGAAGCATTGCTCTACTTTATCAAAACATGTCATCTATAATCACATAATGCAATCTCAAATCACATGAATACTGATTCATAATCTGAATCTTTATGATTTTCAGTACATATACCTCTTTACGACTTAGCAAGAGTCAATCCACAATGTTATTAAAACAATAGTATCTCAATATAGATCATAAACTCACATGCATAAACAAAATGCATAATAAGTTTAAAGAGCTAAATAGTCAAAATGGTAAAAAATAAATAAAAATTCAACAATAACAACTGTCAACCAAAATAACACCCTTAAATGCAAATCTCTCAATACAAAAAACTGCAAAATTAAACATACTAGAAATCTATCAGAATGAGAACAAGACTCCCACTAAATTTTAGCATAAAAAAAAGGAAATAATCTCATGCTCACAACACTGGAAAAATGAGAAAGTAACATCAAGAAGCAATATGTTAGGATATGCTTGACTTTTATTATTTACATGTCCGAGCCTAATCGAGTCCTTAGTATTCCAAAAGTGGTTTTTAGCCTCCAAACCCTAAATCCAAGTCACAACGTGATTTAATAATAAACTACTTATTGGAGTTTGAATGAAATACATGAACTTGAGCCCCATATTGGAAAAGAAGAGAAAGTCTCAACACCTATGAGTGGGAGTCTTCCCACACGTGCTAAAACTATTTTTAAAATATATTCAGAACTTAAATATAATTTTAAAGTCCAAAAAATTATTTAAGAAAGTAAATATAATTGATTAAAATACTTAAATACTAATTATTCATTCAATCAAGAATAATTAAAATATAATTAATAATTAATATAATTAAACAAGGCTAAGATATTACTTAATTGTAAATATTAAACTAAACAAACTAATTTTCTATAAAAAATAAAAAACAAAGTCCACAAAAAATAATTTAAAATAAATAATTACTATTAATTAAGTAATTTATGAAATTAGTAAAATATTTAATTAATAATTATTCTCAAAAAATTAATAAGATATTACTTAATTATAAAATATAAAACAATTTTGTGCAGTATAGCCGTGCGGCTGTACTATTAAAATATTCGAATAAATTTAAATAGTACAGCCAGGCGGCTATACGCTTTAAATAAAAGTAATTAGGTCTAGAAATTAGGAAAATGCATTAAACCATATCATTAGCATAACGTCCACACAAGTAGATTCATGATTGTTCTCATGATGAAATATTATATAACACAACTCATTGCCAAATGGAGGAGCATAGGGACTAAGAATAGGATCTTTCTGCTTCTTGGTTAAACCAACAAGTTTCGTGTTTTCTACTATCTGATCTATTGCACACCCACTGAAACTAATAAAAGAAAAATCCAAAATAAATTATAGACTCCGGCTAGATAAGAGCTTGCCTTTCAATCGACTCCGCTACATACTCCAATTAATCACTAAGGGAAGCTAACAATATCAGTTTGTTATCATCACGAATTAAGTTATCTTAAGAGAGGCAAAGTTGAAAAATAAAGTCAATCCATAATCTTAACATTCAATGAATAAATCAATTACTTCATTCGTAAAGAGAAGCTAATCAAAATTCTTTTACTAAACAACTAAAAACAAAAGACAAGATACAAATGACATGTTGATCATTCAAGTGGAAAGAATAACTTGGAATATCAAACAACAATTGAAATACATGCTTAATAGGCCGTAAATTCAATAACAAATCACTTAGTTCTAATTCAACCTCAAGATTTTCAGAATCCGAAGCATGGTACAGAAATAATAATTAAAACGTAAATTACTAATTAAAGTAATTAAAAAAGCCTAAGATATTACTTAATTTGAAAAAAAAACCATTTTGTGCAGTATAGCCGTGCGGCTATAGTTTTAAAATATTCGAATATATTTCAAGGGTACAGCCGCACGGCTATACATTTTAAATATTAATATATGTTAACTGTACAGCCCCTCGGCTATACTGTTAAAATATTCGCATATATTTAAGACGTACAGCCGCACGGCTATACTCTTTAAATAAGTGTACTTTATAATATATAATTTTCCATTTTAATTATGCGTTTGTCTTTAAAAAAATATATTAAATAATGAGTTGAAACATTCAAGTACATCATAGAGATGAAACTAATTTGTATATACAAATCAAAGTTATATTACCTTAGCACCAAAAAAATGTTTAGATTACCTTAGTTACTTTTAATATAAAGTTGAGTTGAGCTGGACTCCCAACTACTAGGACTTCATAATTTGTTATTTCTAAGAAATTGATTTTGTTATTTTATTAAGATAAAAAGTGAAACTATAACACTCGGATAGGGATGGCAACGGGCCAGTTCGGCCCAGTTCAGTCTCAGATAAAATTATTTCTAAACAGTTAGTCTGTTTCAAACTTTCTACAAGAAAATCTGACTCCCAACATAACCCAAAACCCCAAAAATATGCTAGGCGTCCGAGTCTCAGATAAAATTATTTCTAAACAGTTAAGTCCGTTCCAAACTTTCTACAACAAAATCTGACTCCCAACATAACCCAAAACCCCAAAAATATGCTAGGTGTTCGAGACTCTTTTTCTTCTTTTCCTTTTGATCTGCTTAGCATGATAATCATGGCTTTGCTCTAGCTCATGAGGAAGACAAGCCGGCCATCGGAGACGTGCATTCAGTTCGTTTCTTCGGGTACCTAACCTCAACCAAGTCAAGGATCGTCGACCAACATTGATCCAGAAGCCATTCCCTAAACTACTGTCAGGATCTTGATCATCTCCTTCTCTTCCCATTCCTTGCACTTCCACCACAATTAGATAGTGCTGCAATGTTGGGAATCAAAATGTAAAGAGATGTCGAAAAACATGATATAAATCATTTATCTAAAATGTCCACCTACAAAATAAAACATTTAGCTATAAACCTATAAAATTTGTCTTTTTATTTTACCACTTGTCCCCTGATGGACGATGATATCGTACCATTCTGACTTCGTATAGTCTTTGTTTCTTATAATTTAAAATGAAAATTATATATATAAAGCACACATAATTTATTTATGTATGTACCCAAGTATGTGCACCTGCAAGTATGAAAAGAACATCCCAGAAACAGGGGCTCCATATACCCTAAACAAGAATGAATTATGGGAGCCCTATCAATATATGAATGAAACAAGCACGCGAAAACTAAAGATGGTTATGAAGTAGAAGACTCACAAGGCACCTACTTAGATTAGGAACGTCCCTCTAGACTGACTGCATGCCACTGTGCAATGTCCTTAGTCGACCAAGTGCACATTGCACCATGTGCCTTTCTTCGATGGTCATGCTGATTTCTTTTGAGGACTGCATAAATAAAGTAGGAAAATACGACGGATAATAATTAAAGATCTCACTATGATGCACATAGGTATGCCGCCAAAAAAAGAAACAAGATTCTCTGGATATACAAGCCTGAGGGTGCAAATGAAAGTACCTGTAAAACGATGATGCTTTCCAAGATACAGTCAATCTCCGCCTTGAATGAAGATATGATTTGCCAAATTTTGTCATCCTTGTGCATCAATTGAAGCAAGGAAACGACTGCATCTACCCTACTTGAAATTTCTGTTGTGTAGCGGGTTTGATCAGGAGTTAAACATGCCAAACTACTTTTAGTTATCCATGACCTCAATGTTTTCAATACAACATTCAGAAGTTCGTGACTTTTATCAAATAAGACAAAGCAAGGAGTAAGATAATAACAGCATGCACTTGAACAAATGGAACCCGAGACCTTCTTATCCTCTTCAGCTGTGCACTGCATCAGAAGGCAGAAAACTGAGAGAGCGATAAAACTCAACAAGGCAAAGGACCTTAATTATTTGGAAAAGAAACACTATGCAGAGGCATTATGCAACAATTTAAAAGTTCATGCAGAGGGGGCAGAAAATGTGAGACAACTGCAAACATATAGAAATCTGCACAGCAAGATATCTTAGTAATGTCAAATTGATAATTATACAGACATCTTGTCCTCATCTCCGTCCCCTAGACCAGCCTTAGTATGCGATTAAAAACAATATATAATTTTGTTGGCTTTTTATTTATAGATCCTAATTCATCGATTCTTGTGTCACAACATGTAACCATGAGACTATGACAAGGGATCTAGCAACTTACAACACAAAGATAAGTTCAAAGGTTCTTATTTAATTTGTTTCAAACTAAAAAAGATATGCTCTATTTACTATGACGAAATAACAATGTAACATGAACCCATAAACCAAAACATCTTTGTTAGATGTCTTTTCTTTTTCCCAAGGATAACGAGTGCATGCATGAATTACCATAAGGGTTATAAAACCAGAAAGATAATAAATATCCTATATGGTAGACGAATATTGGTACCATATCTTGTTGCCTTGCATCTTCATTGCTACTGACATTTGTAAACATGATATGGTAGCAAGAAAAGAAAACAAACTTACATGCACAATGTCTATCAGATACCACGGAAGGATATTGCCTAGGCTTATAAAAGCTTGTTGAGAAATTATTGTGGCTTTAGAGTCCAGTGTAATAAGCATCCTAAGCATAGCACAAACATTGTCTAGAGGAGGAATTTGTAACTGCAACATAAACAAAACCATAATCAGGAAGAAAAAAAAAACAATTAAGTGTAAATTTCAAATAGAAAATACAGGAAAAGTATCCCAAATAATAAAAATTAGGAAGACATCCATGTAAAAAACATGAGAAATTAAGTTATTTAGTCAACTTGCCATTTGCTCAAGTATCACTTTCTCTAGCATCAGAAAAACAAGAGAATTATCACCCATCTCTGACAGGCATGACTGAACAATGCGAGTGAGTGACTTCAAAGCCTTCCGATTTAAGATAATCACATCACTCTCTTTTGAGATATTCACATCACTCTCTATAACAGGATAAATTTCTTCTGCAAGGACGAAGCCATTTTAGGTTTAGAAACCAAATAATTACAATAAAACTGTATTTAAATAATGAATTGGTTCTTCAGGAATTAATACCAAGGCATCAGATATCTTGGTAACAAAAAGAATAAATAGTTTAAAATTGTCCCGAGCAACATCTTTTTGAGTCCAAAATCTAAGAGCAAGCTAACAAGCTCTTAAGTAGAGCAAGATAATTTTTGTTCTCAATCAGCTTTTTAAAACATAAGTTAACAATATCTCACACTTCCAATTTAATTACCTTTACGATAAAGCATGCAAAAGGATAAGCATTGGTAAATGGAAAAACAAACAAATCATTAATAGAAAATCAGAAAATTGAAACTTGAGACAAGATGTGAATCAATACAAAGAGAATGCTTCCTGGTAATTAATTATATACATAACATGAATAGGCCAGACTTACTTTTGTCAGATGTACCTGGGAAAACACTGAAACTGGAGAGCAAGGTGATAAGGAAACTAATGTGATCAGCAATCTGGATATGCCCAGATTTATAAGATGAATGCAGGACCTCTATGATTCGAAATAATACATGATGTTCCAGATGCGGACCTGCAATGAATTGGCAAGAAATAAAAACGTCAATTTTAAAAAATCCAATATTGCAAGTAACTCTTCATACATAAAAAATGTTCATACATCTCCTGGAAAGCAGAAAAGAGAACATTTATATTTACTTCATATTGTTAGAAAATAATATGAATCACCCTTTGATGTTTAATGGCACATCTCACCCCTTTTATATTTTGACCAAATCACAGAATAAAAATACAATTTCGACCACAAAATAAATAAATAAAAAGACAGTTACATAGAGACTTGAATGACGAGCATCTATCCTCCAGTTGAATGAGACTCCTTTTGAGCGTTGTTTCTATCTACTATTATCTAGAAAATTGCCTTCATTCAGCCACAGTAATGTCCACCAAAATGGTTTTCTACATCAGTTTTTGAAAAATATACTTGTTCAACAAAGAAACTAAAGCAGATAGGGCGCTTTCCTGATTCTTGCAGCAAAGATAACTCTACCACCAAACAACACTACCACTGAGGAACATATTTGATACCCAAGTCTCTTCAACTCAGAATACTTTTGGAATTACAAGGTTCCTTTATGAGTGTTATAATAAAAACAAGAGTAGTTTGCATATTAAGTTGACCAATTTAGTTGTGTAGCGCATGAAACTTATAAAAAAAACGTCTAAAGATGATATGAACTGCTTACAGCATACCAAACCCTAAGCTGTCAAATCGATCCAGAATCTAACCGAGGCAGACATGAGAAACTTACAAAGGCAACAATCAGCTATTGACTTCAGCAAAAGTGAATCCAAATGAGAGAAATAAAACAGGCAGCAAAGAGAGAGTTCCTGAGAATCTCTGGGAAGCTTTACAAAGGGACCATATGATATATTTCCTGCAAGAACAAAAGAGAGTACCATAAGAAGCTGAATTGTATGCTGATGGATGATTAATCCATAAAAAAGAACACAAGTGTCTCTATTGAATTGGGCTCTTTACCATCATTTTGATTGCTGAAAAACGGTTGCAGTGAGAATTGCACGTTGTCATATTCCCATGCAAAGGAAGAGTTCATTAATGAACGTTGTCCCACGCGAAGTAGAAGGTGCAACACAACCTGAAAAGGCATCTAATTTTAAAGGGGGGAAAAAGCATATGTGAATGCAAAAAATAAAACGATAAATAATGAAATATTGCAGATCAGGTCATGACACAGAGATACAAGATGCAAAAAAATTCAGGCGTTTTAATCTTTAGCACTGGCAACACCTAGTGTCTTGTTTCTGCTGTGTCGCTACTGTTGTTTTACAATGTTAAGGAAATAATCACCTGGGAACAGGATGGGTTTTTATCACCCATCAGGATCAGCAACATAGGAAGCTCTCTTATCCAGGCAATCTGAAAGTCTAATATCTCAGGAACACTAGGATCCAGGTACAGCACGTCTTGTCTCTATGATTTGTAGAAAAATATATCAAAATTCAAATTGAGAGAGATATAGATAGATAGACAGTCTGAATTTTATTTTTTTTATTTTTATTTTTGGGTAGTAAGAAATGCCAACTGGTATACTGAGAAAGAATCTTGGAGAAACTGCAAACAGAAGGTATACAATCAAGCTTACAGGAACTAGCATCTCCTCCATAATGGAAAGGCAAGCCAACTTCAAAGGGCACTCATGATTGCAGTCCTTGAATGCCTTAGTAAAAGCCTGCAATCAAAGACAATTAGATAACATCATTTTCATAATTCAAAAGAAGTTAATCAATTACCACTACCATAATGGTTTATGTATAACTTCTCTTTTTGGGTCGAAGGTTTATGTGTAATTTAGGAACCTATAATTCTTTGAAGAACAAAATCCAGAGTTACACAACCTTATAAAGAAAAAGGGCAGCTGAGGGTTTAGGGTTTAGGGTTTAGGGTTTAGGGTTTAGGGTTTAGGGTTTAGGGAATACGCTGATGATAAGCTCTTGGGATTCAAATTATTATTAAGCACGAGTCACACCTGAAGAAGGCGAGACTTCCAGTCATCTGGCACTTGGGAAACAAGTTTTGGAACAAAAGGAAGAAGTGAAATTAAATGCTTCTCCTGCTTCTCCTGCTTCTTCTGCTTCTCCTGCTTCTCCCGCTTCTCCCGCTTCTCCCTTCTCCCGCTTCTCCCACTTCTCCCGCTTCTCCCAAGCTTCTCCCGCTTCTCCCGCTTCTCCCGCTTCTCCCAAGCTTTACCAATACGTGTGTCAGGGCAGACCTGGAAAATAACAAATTCCCAACTATTTAAAAGAAGCTTTACAAAGAGTATCTGGACGTTATAATAACCTGAAACATTGTACAGTACAATTCCACTAACTTACTGTCTATACCTCCCAAAATACTACATACAGTAACTAAAATAGGATGCATTGTGTTTTCTAAGCTATCATGGCAAGATGAGCATAAAAAATTTCCTAAAAAGATTAATACTACAAATAACAATCTCACAGTTGTATTGTTCTATCAAACACATTAATCGTAACTTTTCCTTCTGTACAATAGCGCTACAAAATGCATCAGCTCATTACATTAGAAAAAACAGAAAAACAAACCACAACTGCACTCCCTCTTTTTGGGTCAGAACTGTGTCCCTCTTTCCCATTTTTATTAAAAATAATCAAGCATAAAATGTTATCACGCCTAAATCAGTGCCTTCGAGAAAATACAGAGTGCATGACACAGAATTTTGAAGAGCAAGCAATGTAACTTCATAATAAAATATTATGGTACAAGAAATCTGACCTTTCGAAGCAGAGAATTTTCCAGAAATTCTAAAACTTTTCCCAATAAAATAGCAGGAGGGCAGATCCATTTGCTTAAGTACAAAAATATTTCTGTCAACTCAGTGTTCAAGCCAAAATATTCAACATCATCCTGCCAAACAGAATTTGGAAAGAACCAATTCAAGTTACAAAAAGAGCAAGAACATTTAGTAGAGAACTTTTAATACTGGTAATGAAAGATCCCACATGAACAGGGGTATGAGCTACTACACAGAGAGAGAGAGAGAGAGAGAGAGAGAGAGAGAAAGAGATTATTAAGAATGAGCCTCACATAGACACCCTGAATAGGATAATTGATGACCATATATAGCACCTGCCCAGATCCTAAACTTTGCTTTTAGTTTTTTGAACCCAAGCACAAATCATAGAATGGGGTTCTTATACACTTGAGTTTCAAGAATGTGAGAGCTGCCAAGGTGTTGGCTTAATATAATACTTCCATAGCACAAGACAAGACTTCTTTCTGGAAACATTCTACAACCTTCTATGAAAAGGTCAACATGTTATGATACTAATAAATTGTAATGGACTCAAGATACAGAACAGAAATGTAAAGGTCAAACACACATTATTCATGTCATTAGTACTATAGTCTATAACAAATTTATGATTTTCACAATGTATTAAACATCAATGCTAACGAAATATCCAGGGTCTGAAAATATGGATATATCGATGAAAATATGGATATATCAATGAAAATATTGAGAAAACATCAATATTGAGAGAAATTGGACGCACATGATGAAAACATTGCAGCCAAAAAGAGAAACATCAAAAATATCATTAATATTCAACAGTACAGGCCCATGTTTGCTGAAAAATTTAAACAGGAAGGCTATAAAACAGATGTAAAATAAAGTGACACCAACCATGAGTCTCTAAAGGAAGTCATTTGCAGTAACAATGATGAGTTTAAAAGTTATATTAAGGTCATACCTTTTCTGAAAGTTGATTTGTCATGTTAAGGGGAAACAAAACTAGTAACTTCTTCAATAGTGTCATAGAGATAGTCAACATAGTCACATCAAGCCCCTCTTGAGAAGGTCGTGATTCCAATTTACCCTCATCAGTCATATAGAAAAAAAACTTCACTGCAAGGTTGATACTGTGAAGTATGGACAACATACAATCAAATGATTGTTTATCAAGAAGTGAACCCATCTGAACTTCCGGAATAAAATCCTGGAAACAATTGACTAGAACTGGCACAAGGTCTTTTAGTTTTGGGATGATGACAGAACAACCTACAAAGAAAGCAAGAAGATGATAGGCCAATAAGAAAAGAAGAAAAAAAAAATTAAATAAATAAAATGGAGGTGCTTGGATTGTGGATTGCTTTGTCCCACTAAACCATAACTTATTAGCAGAATATAAAGAATAAGCTATTTGATAATATTATTATCAGAGAGAACTTTCATTTCTCCCGCTCTGAGAATACATCCAAATGCAAGGCATTTGAACCTAAGAAGTACAAAACTAATAAAATTATATAACTGAAGAAGTACTATCATGTAAAAGTTCAGGCACTTCAACTATCAAAGTCATATTGATATATGCAGTGACATGAGCCATGACTAAACAAATGGTGCCATCAGTAGAACATAACCGATAGCAGCATATACACACAAGGCACCAGTGTTTCACATACCAGCAGATTTTGCAGGCAAATCGGGCTCAAAAGCATGCAGTATCCTTTGTCCAGCATCATTCTATTAAGAACAAGAAATGATATCAGAGACAGAGAGCCATTTGCATAACAAAGGCAAAAGACTGGTAAGCACAATTCAAAACAGTTTCTCCCTGGCTACTGTGAACAACTGATCTTTCATGATGTAATTGAGGATACTAGGGCCTGAACTATTCCAAGATTATTTTTTCCTTTCCTTTTGGCCTCTGGCCACCACTTTTACCGAGTTAAAAGAAGAAGAAGAAGAAAAAATCTTTCTCCCATTCAAAATGGTTCATCCAGCTTCAGAAGTCAGATCATGCATTTTTTTTTTTTTTTTTTTGACAAGCATATCATGCATAGTATTAGTGAGTATAAAAAGAATATTTATTCAAAACTTTCACATGTCTAAAGTAACTAAGTAAAGGAAAATATAGTTTAAAATTTGGATGTGTGAGAGACACTCCCTTTTAAGTTTAACTTTACAAAGACAAGTTTCTACTACACTAACGCGGTGCGCCCCCCCGGCCCCCCAAGTGCAAATCGAATCCATTGCAAACTAATACATAAATTAAGATTCACTCAATTCATGTGCATGTTCCTGGTGCCATGTATCCATCCCCTGCAACGTGACAGTCTTTATACGTCTTAAGCTAGCAACATGATTGGTGAATTATTCATTGCAAACATCATGCTTCCCCACGACTCCAGAAAAAAATATCACAAGTTCAATAACAGGACCAAAGTAAAACCAGCTAAATCATCTACATATAGAGATTTATATTGGTGAAAATTTTATGCGACCAATAAAACAATGATGATAATAACAAAATTTAGCAGCAGAAGTTCCACCAGTAACATGCAATGAAGGAATACAGATAAAGAAATCCAAGGAAACACGCAGGTTCACGCCACACAATACAATCAATAAAAGAAAACATGCAAAACAGTTAGTAGTCTTCCAAGTTTAAAAAAACTAAAAAGTACGTTTTCTAATGAGCTGACTTCTCTCTTGTTACATGGCAACAGCGAAAAGCAATGCTCCAACCCGGCAAGAGCAGTCTCGAGCTTCTTCTTGTCCTCTAAATAAAACTGGTTCCGCCGCAGAATATCCTCAAAGTTTTGAAGAATCTGTTAATAAAGCGATCATTGAAACAGCCTTAAAAGTTATCCCTAAATACAAAAGAGAACAATAACACGGAAAGAGTCTCTTTTGAGTTCATCTAAACTTTAGACTGATTAGCATCCAAAACAAAATATTTAAATCACCAAGTGACAGGAAACACACATGCACAAAGGACTAAGCCATAATTGATTGATGAGAAATAAAGCAATGACCAACGAAACAAATTAGATCACACATGCAATGGATAAAAATTCAATTAAGAATATCTGCTTATAGGGAAAAGAGGTTAAGTAATCTAAAGCTGAACATCTATATGAAAAACCCAGTAACTTGCCTAATATTGATCAAAATGTAAGCAAAGAACATACCAAGAATTACAGAAAGACAAGTTATCCATCAGTCTTGGAGAAAAAGAATGTCATTGAATAAGGCAACAATCAGTAATACATGACCACAGAGAAGTACCAAAACTCTAAGTCATTAATTTCCATTAAATATTAGTAAGGGGTTTTTAGGAGCAGTAGTCCCTGAATTATAACCCGATTTGCATTTCAGTCCTTCAATTTCCAAAATGGTTGTCATGGTCCTTCAACTCCACTTTTGATGGCATTGTTGGTCCCGACATTAGTTCTATTATCTTTTTCGTTAAACGTAAGCGTACAATGGTCTTTTTAAGTTATTTTTAGTTCCCAGCACTCTAAAACCCATATTCCCTTTTTTTTTTCTTTTTCTTTTTTTTGAGAAGAAACGAAATTTATTGAAGCAAAGGCAAAAACACAGAAGCGGATAAGGCATCCACAAGCCAACCAAACAACACAAAAACAAAAAGAAACAGCACCAACACATCCCAAACTAACAGGGAAAAGAAAACCCCAAACAACCAAATACAACACACACCAAAGCCCTTATTTAACCGCAGCTGCCATATCCCTCATAATTGTGGAGTAAGAGTAGTCTTTAAAATCTTTTGTAACAGATGCCCAAAGAGCTGCCCAGAACTTAACTCTGTCCCAAAGCTCACTCTCACTCTCACTCCCTCTCATCCCACCACCCATATTCCCATTCACCAAAAACAAAAACAAAACCCTATCTCCTCTTTCACCCGGAAAAAAAAACCCCCTTCATCCCATCGTCGCCAGAACCACTCCAACCCAACCCAACCTAAACCACAACCCACACAACCGCCAACCCCTCCCCACTGTCACCCTCACCACCCCACCCAAATCCCAATTCTCCCCAGGCTTTCTCTGCTGACCTCATTCCCCTCCCGCCCCACACCCATTCCCACATTCTTAGCTCCCACCCCATCCCCCCATCCCACCGCTAACCTTCACCCTCACTGTCTCATTTTTATTTTGAAAACAATTTGAGCACACATGGGGATGTTGGTGTTCTCCATGACCAACCACCCAATTATTGGGGATCAACCTTTTGTTTTGGGTCAGGGAATTTGGGATTAGTGAGGTTGAAAGATTCAATTCGAGGAAAGGGAGGGTGGGTATGGAGTGTTGGGTGCCTATGGAGCACTCTGGTGGAGGATCCTCATGGGTGGCTATGGCTGGTGCTCCGGTGGGGAGAACATTTTGGCAGAGGTTCAAGTCGCTGGTATCTTGCTGATTGGAAATACAGAGAGAAAGCCTGAGTTAAAAAACCAATTGAAACAAAAATAAAATACACGTGTTACCTTGTTAGTGGGCCATGTCATCCTTCAAGAGGAGACACATCATGAGCCAAGTAATTTCTGTTCTTGACCCTCAACAGTACACCATGTGCCATGTGCATTCTCAAAATTGACAGAAAAAGTTAACAAAATTGACGCCATGACCTTTATTGCTAACGAAAGTAGAGATGAAGGATCATGACAACCATTTTGGAAATTGAAGGACCAAAATGCAAATCGGGTTATAGTTTAAGGACTATTGCTCCTAAAAACTCTATTAGTAAGAGACAATGTGCAGTTTCAAAAGATGATGATGCGACATCCAAATTTTGTGACAGGTACGAGCAGATGCCCCAAACTCCACCCCACTAGAACAATAAAATAAAAGCATAGGAGAACAACAAATCATATAACAGTTCATAGTTAATGACCAAAACATAAATCAGAAATTCTTAGGTTGCATTCATCAGAAGAACACATCTAATAAAAAAAAATCCAATAAAAACATTGGATACCTTTTCAGCATACAAGAAAAAGGAAGGTGGATGATACTGGATGACAAGCTCCAAATATTTGAAAGCCATCAACCGAACATCAATTGCTAAATGTGTCATTGCATTAAATATGTAGGGCATCACCAAGGAGACGAAAAGCTCTTGATTATCCTGGACAAGAAAATAAGGAAACAAATGTCACATTAAATTCATTGGCTATAAACATCAACAAATTTAACGATAATAGAGATGATAACACCAAAATAAGTCAAACAACGTTGTAACTGAGTTGAATCCATAAGTGCAGCAAAAGAAGCAGCACAGATTTGAAACTATCAAATTGTCCTACGGTACTGAAGATCTAACTGTTCTACAGTACTGAAGATGCATAACAATAAGAAAAGAAAAGAAAAGAATAGGAAGTAAAAAGAATAAGCGTTATAAAGATAATTTATGTGAAGCTCTATAAACTGAAACAGAATTAATTCCATTTCACCCAGCTAGGAACAGCTTCGCAGATCCAGAATTCTGGCCTGGCTCTTTAAAATCTTAAAATAAGTGATGTTTTACATGGCAACAATTGAAATTCGTTATTGGGAAAAACATCTATCATGAAAGAATTATGCAGAAAAACAGTATAATCAACCACCCAAATGTTTCTTTAACTGAGATTAATCAAATATAATCGTCTTTCTTTTGCATTTATACATTTAATGCAGAACCAAGTTTTCACCTGCTGCATTCAGACAAAAAAAAACAAAAACAAAAATTACCTCCTGACAACCAGCGTCAATTGCTGACTTAAAAAGTTCATGTAGTGTTTTTTGAGCTACTCTATCATCATCACCAATGCGTTCACGCAGTTTTTCAATAACAGCATACTTGTGCAGCCTCAACTCTTCTGGATACTTTTCGAATAAATCCTTAATACCCAACAATGCCTCTTCACAAAGAAATAAAGCTTAAGAACATTAGATACAGTAGAAAAAATCACAATTGGAAACAGCTTCCAAGACAATATAATTATTGAAAAGGAAGTGACTTCTACAATTAACACATTAAAAACCCAATGAATGTGCAGAAATACATGATCAACAATTAATCTATTCAGGTTAAAAATAGATTAATGCTCATATTTTGGAAGGCACTACTAAATTTTGCATCAAACTGATATTATAAAATAACAACAAATACCTTTACGAACTTTTGAGCTGTAATGGGATGTTTGCTGAAGAAGTTCTTTCAATGTTAAACCTCTCTTATTCACTGCTAATCCTGCCTTCTCTGATGCCACACTCTGCTCAGGAAGAATAATTGCTGCTCACAGTAACCATTACTTAATATTCATTAGAGATGCTAGTTCACAACAATATTTGACAACTCAAAATAGGAGCACACAGGCTACTCATTCATTTTGGTGGGAAAAAAAAATTTAAAAACTAATTCAAATAATCAAGAGAAAGAATTTTCACCTTAATTCCTCTCATCATCCCAAAAAAAAAAAAAAACCTTTTCAGTTTGGACCGAGCCACTTTGAGAAAAAAATAATAATAATTCTAAATGAATTCCACCAACAAAAATAAAAAAATTTATGTTGAACAGGTGACAGAATTTTCCTTTCGATTAATTTAGAGTCTTGTGTAATTATCCAGGGAAACAGCAGAATCAATGAACAAATGAAACAGCTGTACAAAGAAATAATAGGAACATATGAATGCAAAAACAGATTCAGTACCTTTGGATTTAATTTCAGTATTTGTAGCATTCTTTGCTGGTGGCAATTTTTTACCAATCTTTCGCTTTATTTTCTGAGGAAAATATAAAAGAAAAATAAACAACAGATGCAAACAACGGTTTCACATGTTGAATTTCCAAAACATAGCAGACTCATAATATGAAAAAGTTTATTACTTTGAAGTCAACACCGCGCTTTTGCTGCTTCTTTCCCTTAGGGCCTGCCATTTATAACTACAGCTTACACAAAGAAAAACAACAAAACAAGTTTATTTAGTTTCTGAATAAAAACCCATTACACTGGTACTGGTAATGCTTAAACTGCAATACGGCGACGTTTCCAGGAGCACTAAATCAGCTCCTGTTTGGCAGCTGAGAAAACTAGGGGAAGTTAAAAAAAGAAAGAACAAGAACTCTACGTATCTAAGCAATATACTGTTCAGGTTTTCATGACATGAATAAAAGTCGAAGTAAGCTCAAAATCAATTGAAACATGTACGCTGACAGCAAGCATTCGAGGCACAGAGAAAAATAAAAATCAATGAAATTATATTTGGTATCTACCTTTTCTTGGCAACCAAACAGATGGTGTATCTCGGAGATGCGAGTTCTCTTGAAGAGGACCAAAACGGCGTCGTGCTTGCACTGAATGGACTTGAAGAGGGGCCTATAACCTTTTCGAAGGTTTACCGTCGGGGAGGTGGGAACTTTGGGTGGCTGCGTTTGTTCTTTTTTTTTTATTTTTTTATTTGTATATTTTTGTTAACTTTTTCTCAGGGTTTTTTTATAAATAAAATGTCATGTTTGAATGAGGCTTTTTTCACACAAGAGAGCTTTTGGTTAGAAGAAAGGGGATTTTTACTGTGATCTTACCGGCCCATCTTCGATGGGTATTTTTAAAATTCGGTTCTCGATTTTTCCCGAAATCTTTTTTTATTAGAGTTGGCACTCAGCTCGACGGGTATTTATGTTAGTCACTTGGTTAAGGTCCCGTTTGAGATTGCTTTTTTTGGACAAAAATCTGCTTAACTTTAAAGTTAAGCAGTTTAAGGTGTTTGGTAAAAATAAAATATCCTGCTTATTTTAAAAGCAATGGTCTTTTGACAGCAGCTTTTAAAAGCAACCTCGGGGTTGCTTTTTAAAGCTGCTTTTAATTGAAGCAGCA